AACCTGTAATATAACCTGTTGCTATGGCAGGCATTTTCAACAGTGGGCACTCCTGACTATATTGCTCCTGAGGTTTTACTGAAGAAAGGCTATGGAGTGGAATGTGATTGGTTAGCTTTCTTATTCGTGATGAACATGGATTTTAATTGACTGATGTTTTAAAGTTTTGATTGCCTTACTTCCAAAGATTAAACATGACTTTCACTTATGGTTCTTTCTTTTAGGTATGATCACCTTGAATAGAGAAAGTAAAGTTAATAGACTTAATCCATTATCCTCTTTTCTTTGCTTCATTCAGGTGGTCACTTGGCGCCATCATGTATGAGATGCTCGTTGGTTATCCCCCTTTCTACTCCGAAGACCCAATAACAACATGTAGAAAGGTATAGTGGTCTACACAAGTGTGTGAAAATTCATTAAGCAGCATTAACAACAACAGCAACATCAACATATAGGTGGGGTTTGGGGAGGATAGAGTGTACGCATACATTACCTCTACCTCGTAGAGATAGAGAGGCACGACGAAATTTAAAACTTTAGGAAGCAAATCTACTTTCTCCTGTTCAACATTGATATTATTTATCCTTTTTGTTTAGTTAACAATCAACGTATCTATGCTTGTGCTACTGTTCCGTCTTATGACAGTCCATTCACGATACTTATGTGGCATGATTCAAATGCTATGTTTTGACACTTGTTCTGGTTCTATAGATAGTTCATTGGAGAAATCACATAAAATTTCCAGAGGAAGCAAGATTAACTCCTGAAGCCAAAGACCTGATCTGTAAGTTGCTTTGTGATGCTGAAAATCGTCTTGGTTGTCGAGGAGCAGAGCAAATAAAGGTTTGTGTTACCATAATAGTCTTATTTTTGGATCAATTACAGATTCTTATGCTTTATTCATCAATATAATCAGGCTCACCCCTGGTTCAAAGACATAAAGTGGGATAAACTTTATAACATGGAGGCAGCATATAAGCCAGAAGTCAATGATGCTCTTGACACTCAAAATTTCATGAAGTTTGATGAGGTAAATTACAATTTATATCCTATCCCGTTTCTGTCTTCTTTTCCAAATTTTAGAGGATGTTTATGAGAAGTGATTATTCATCTTCACAATTTAATCGTGACACTATGTTTCGCTACTACATAAGCTACCTTAGTGGTATGTGTGATCAAGAGTTATCACTAAAGATGAGGCTACATCACACCCCTCAGGGTGCTGCTCTTCCCTAGACGGGATATTTTGTGCACCAGGCTGCCGTTTTACTAAAGATGAGCCTATGGTACCAATGAACAACGACTGCGATGACTTGATTTTAGTTTCTTTATCTTTATATTTTGTATTTTTCATTTAATACTTAAGCTTTGTTTTGGATGATCATTTTGATATTCATGTTTAACTGTTGTTACCAACAAAACTTAGTTGAGGATTCTTTCGGACTGATGTTCGATTGGAACTTGCTGCAGGCAAATCAAGCACCAGCAAAAAATAGTTCAGGACCCAATCGAAAGGTGAGTTTTCGTTTGCTACAATGAGTAAAGAGTCCTATCAGAGCAATAACGCCATGCTTAAGTAGCTGTTTTCTGTTGTAATATTTTGGCAGAAGCGTCTGATTCCCGAAGATTTAAGTTTTGTTGGCTATACCTACAAGAATTTTGAGGCTGTGAAGGGATTAAGACATTCTTCAGGTATGGTGACTTCCATATACTCTCAGACTAATAGTTGTGTCATCTTCTTTTGAAAGGGAGCTCGTGTTGAATGCTCTGTCATCTACGTTACTTCCTCCGTTTCAAAAAAGAATTTCCCTATTTTCTTTTTAGTTTGATTAAAAAAGAATGACCTCTTTCCTTTTTTGACAACACTTTAACTTTAACTTTCCACGCGGCATGTTTAAGACCACAAAATTAAAGGGCATTTTGATGCATTTGACGTAACTTTAATTTAGAACCACAAGATTAAAAAAAAAAACTTTTCTTAAACTCCGTTCTAAGTCAAACTAGGTCATTCTTTTTTAAACGGATGGAGTAATTCTTATGCATTCTGTGACATGTATAATGTATACTAGTTTCTGGACACGTTCGCACGTATGTCCAATACAAGTAGTTCATACAAACTAAATCATATTAAAAATATATTGTAATAAATAATAGAATAAAGTGAAAAAGTACAAGCTAAAATAGATGAATAGTTGGTTTATATTCAAATGATTTTTTTTGTTGAACAATATTAGATGATTAAATATTATTTGAAACTACAAAATTCAACAATTAAATTTATCTAGATAGGTAAAATGTATAATGAATTATATATATTTTCAGCAACATTTAATGTATTGATATATTTACATGATACTTTTTCAGAAGTAATGTTTTTGATGTGTATTCCATTCGTTGTTTTGATTACCGATTTCAACGATTAGAGTAATTTCATTCATCCGTTTACAATTATATAATTTAAAAAACATTAATAAACATATATCACTAAAATAATATATATGAATACCTATTCTTTTTCATTTATCCACTTCTTTTTTTTACCAACTTCACAAATTCTCAAAAAATTAAAGTTTCAAACAACTTCAAGCTAAGCAAAGAGTTAAAGCTAATGGTATCTCTAACACTTCTATATCAATACATCCAATTGATTTTAACTCATAAATATGAATATAAGAAACATTGATAATTTATAAAACTTAAAACTCATAAAATATTATATAAACGAGAATAATATATATTTTACGAACGCGTTCGTAAAAAATAACAAAGCTGCTTCCCCTAATGGAGAGGGTTGTACATATTCTTGATTTATGAATTCATTTATAAATAGATCATTGAGCATAATTTCAAGGAATAGATAAGATCATTCATTATCAATTAAATTAGGTAACTAAAGAAAATCAAAAGTTCAATTATTGGAGACGAAAAGACTTTTCCAAACAACAACTACGTATAACCATTGTTATGAGATGTATACATTGCAAGTACAAAAAAACTAAGAAAAAGAATGAACAAATTACACAAGAAAATATTTTGTTGAGTAAACATTATATTCTAATTAATTACTACATATAAGATAATATGCTATAGTAAGTATCGATAAATGAACAAATATAACAGCTAGAAGCTTCAATCAAACTAATAAATGTGAAAAGATTGTATTCTAATTAATATTGAGGAAATTTAATCTATAATAATTACTGGCAGATGAACCATCTAGTACTTATCCGGTTCAATGCATAAGATTATTAATAAATTTTATATTTTAAAATTATAGTTGTTAGGGCTTTTAATGTTATCTTTATATAATTAATTAAAATATTATTATTTAATTAAATTTATATTTAGTGTAGCAATAAAATGACAATCCAACTTTTCAATTTGAAGTTTCTCACTTATAATAATATATGACGATATGATAAGCACTTGAATGAATTCTGAGCTTCTGTATAATTAATAAAACAGAAGTACCTCTAATTTTGCTGGTGATGAATAATAATGCTCACATGTGTCAATGAATTTCTTGAATCGATGGATTGTCAAAAACAAGCTCTTTACCTAATTCTGAGCTTCTGTATAATTAATAAAACAGAAGTACCTCTAATTTTGCTGGTGATGAATAATAATGCTCACATGTGTCAATGAATTTCTTGAATCGATGGATTGTCAAAAACAAGCTCTTTACCTCCCAAAGGTCTTTTCCGTGTACACTCCACGCTTTAAGACCCCACTTGTGCGATTATATTGGGTGTATTGTTGTGCATGTGTTAATGTACATTTTAATGCCTTGATCGAACTTAAGACATAAACGTATGCCATATATGACATGAATAAACGTTTAATCACTTGCAGCATTATTAGATTTCTGTGTACCAGCATGAATTTCTTGTGGATGATTGGTCTTGCACTCAAACCTTGACATTGTATGTACTTGCTGGAAACAGAAAACTTTGGTATCTTGCTGATTGTGTTATCTTTCATTATGATGTTCTGTATGTGCTGGTTTTCCGAATGGTTGTCTATAGGACATCTCGATGCACAAATCATCCCATGTTCGCAAGGTCAGGAAGGGTGTAAACAGCCTAACCTAATGCAAGCATTACTGACAACTTTACCGTTGCTCCAAGACTCCCTTAAACTGTTTCAAGACCCTACTTTGATTTCTCTCCTCTCGTAGCATGTATAATAAAAAGGGCCATTATATCCTTGTAGGTGATTCTGCAGTGGATATCTCAGGCAAGTGTTCAATCGATGACAATGAAATGCTTGTCCTCGCTGCTGCATCAGCAGATACTGTAACTCTCTGATGAGCATCCAAGTTCTACAACAAAACTAGACAATCAACATGCCATTTTTATGGTTTTTCCTGGAGGTAATAACATTGAGTGTTCAATTCGAGTTCCGACCATTGCTCCTTTGTCCACAAAAGCAGATTGCCATTTACAACACTTTAAAATGTAAAAAGTGACAAATACAGGATCTCTGGGTAGGTTTCATGCAGCTATCACTAGGAGTTTTTTTCTTTTTTCTTTTTCAAACTTGAAAATTGTGTATACAAACATTAAGCATTTAACTTGACTACCCTTTTAGGAAGAGCTAAGAATGACTTAAATCATATCTGTCTAGAACCCTTTTGAGTTCTTACTCCCAGATTTTGTACATTCACACAGCTGTACCAAGAAAATGGGGAAATCAAATAGTATGCTTTCTTCTAAATCAGTTTCTGTATCTTTTTCCAACAGCCAGAGGTGTCAAATGAGCGAGCTGAATTATAATGGAGGCTTCCAGCTTATGAAGGCTGGTTCCATACAGGATTAGCTATATCTATGTGACTTACATTTATATTGATGGGGTATAGTATAACGATAACCATTACAGGAACAACGGCATACCAAGTGGTGTAATCCCACATGTCGAATCTAAGGAGGGTAGGATTTACATAGACCTTACCCTTAGCTTTGTGGGTAAGAGAGGTTGTTTCTGATAGATCCTTGATGAGTTGATAGGTCTCTAAAATGATCTCATAAGGAGAAATGGGATCTTAAAAGTTTTACATTCAGTTCAACACTGACAATAAACAACTTCATGTGCTAAAAGGTAGAAGTCAAATTGTAAACCAAAAACACTTGCACCACCAAGGATTAATGTCAAAAGTAAGTCATATCAAAAGGATATCTGGAGTTGTTCCCATTTGAATCACATACATAGTAGAAAATGTCACAGTTACACTCCCAACGCTACCTACCGGAGACTTGAAAAGTACAATAATGGCTTCATCTGCTTCATTTTGATTCTCAATGCCTTTTAAAAGGCTTCTAATTTTTGCAACGTTGCGACTGGAAAAGCTATTGACCGAAATTCCATCAGTTGCAAGACATTGTAGAAAACCTGTGAGAATGAGAAGTCGAGACAGAATCATGCTTTTGGGGAATAGGATAAGTTTTATGTCGGGAAAATAATCTGGTTGGCAAAAGGACTGCACATACATAACAAGGCTAGTCATAATATAATCGCTGAAATCACACCAGTTGAAAAGATTCTGAAGCTCTTTTAGTCACATATTTAAGTGAAGTGAAATGATAAAAAAAAATTGAGCACAAGTACAATAAACAGTCTAGGACGATTAATCATGACTAAACTAAGATCTGAGTAGTAACAAAAAATCCAGTAGAAGGGGGATTAACAAACAACAACAACTACCCTAGAGGTAGAGAGGTTGTTTCTGATAGACCCTTGGCTCGATGAAAAAGAGATCTAAGCAGTTCAGAAAAGGAAATAGCAGAAATGAAGAAGCCATGGCAAAATATTACAGAAAGCATGACAAAGCATCAATAACTACAACAAAAACTACTATTATCAAAGTATAGGAAGCAACAGATCATAATGAAATCGACGAACAAGAAAAGTAATATTTTGCAACACCACACTCTTCTACCTGCTAACCTACTACCCTAATATGTGTCCTCCACAGACAAATGTTTTTACTAAAAGATAATTGACCACTTCGTTTTATGATAAGTTGTCAAAAGACAGATACAGGCAAGGAGTTTGTCCAATCAACGATATATGGTTTATGAGAGAACGCTGAGAGGCTAAACCAAACTTGTGAACTATGAAACTGCTTCACATTTAATATTCCAGAAGCAACAAAGGAGTTTTTGAAATAGGGAGTTTACGAATTCATTTCTAATTCATATGTTTAGCCATTTTGCTGGTATACATATTCATTTACTGCCAGAGATAACTGTATCAGCTATTAACAATTTGAAACTACCCAGAACACAGATATTAGTAAAGTGATATCAGTAAGATAAATATTCTTCAACCTTCGCTATAAGCAAATGTGTACGCAAATAGAAGTGAATACAAGCTTTGCTCATACAAGACCGCTGTGCGCGGGTCACTCTATCTTACGAGACCTTAACTGGTCAATGGAACTAGCTAGAGGGTTGAGTCCCAACGAGAGGCAAGGTCTATGTGACCATATAACCCTTGGATATCTGAGGCAAAAGAAAAGAGCCGCAGACAATTACATAATGCTACTGGATCCGATCCAAGATGATGAAGAAGATAATTTGTGCAAACACACTCCAATATATACTTAATAAAAATAGACACACAAGATCTAAAATTAGTTCTTTCTAAAAGCTACAAAAGGAGTACATTTAACAAAGACTTAAGCAAGCATACCTATTATAGCTCAGTAAGTGTTGCCAATGGAGGTCCTGCGGAAGTGAAGTAAGATCCAAGATCGATATCCTGGTCATCGTACATGGTGATGAAAGGGTGACTCTGTATTACATGAATCCCAAATAGCCACTACATTAGTAATTGATCTATAAGCAACTTCGAGAAAGGCAAAAAAAAGTGATTATCACTACCATGAGATCATTTGCCGACAGTCTGTCCTTCTGGTGCTTCTGGACACTGAAACAAGTTATTGTGTAGTGAGCTTCCGAACTAGAAAACACATCTACCAGACACTCATAGGACAATTAGATTAGAAGTTTCAGATGGTACATAACTATAGCGCTTACCATGCAGATATGAATGAGCAGAATTGTGGAGAAAATTGGTCAGGAGGTGCACAAGGTTCTGGTTGGTCAACTATGGTTTCCATAAGTTCATAGACATTGACCCATCCTTCATCTCCCTCGGGTGGTTTATATGGGAAATGACCTGTTGCACACTCGAGCAAGACTAAACCCAAGCTCCAAATGTCGCTTTTGTAATCATAGGCACCTCCTGAAATTCTCTCTGGCTATAGCAAACAACAGAACATCAGCAGCAACTTGGAGGTTTTTAGCATAGGCAGATTGTAATGCTCCCTCTATTTCAATTTGTTTGTCTAGTTTTGACTTGGCACGGAAATTAAGTAAAGAAAACTTTTGAACCTCATGGTCTTAAATTAAAGATATGTCAAATGTACCAAAATGTCGTTTAATTTTGTGGTCTTAGATATGTTGCATGAAAAGTTGGAATTAAGAAATTGCCAAAAAAGGAAAGAGGCATTCTTTTTTCAACGGACTAAACAAACAAATTGAAACGGAGGAAGTGATTAAGTTCCAGAAAAATATGCTAGGAAAATATTTCTCTGTGATATTTATGAGTGAAAATTACCTAGCAGCGCAGTTCTATATTCGCTTCTACAAAAATCAGGTCACAGATACTCACAGACATATAGTTGTATGTGCCGACAAAGGTATTGGCCAGTCCAGATGTGCTTGCTAGTACTGCACTCACACCAAAGTCTGTGATTTTGACATCACCTCTGTGATTGATTAGCAAATTCGAAGGTTTCAAATCCCTGTGAATAATATGCTTCTCATGATGAAGATACCACAAGCCTTTGAGAACCTAATTGGTGAAGGAATACGGTTGAAACATTAGTACTTGAACAAATTCTTCTCCTGTGGTATTTAAATTGTTCACTGGCTACCTGTTTGCAGATAACAGCAAGAAATCGTTCAGGTATTGTTTTGACCTTTTTCAGAAAATCTGCTAAGGAACCACCATCCATATACTCCAAAATCAAGGATATAGCACCATTGTCGAAGAACGACTGATAGCATATGACAACATATGGACACTGGGATGACTGATTAATTCTCAGTTCTTGAGCAATATGTTTGCGCATAGACTCATCAATATTCATCTGAATAACCTGAATGATATAAAACTGTTCGTCAGTAAAGGAACAAATTAAAGCATACGTCAACATAAGCTAACAGATTGTCCAATAAACAAACCCCTCCATCAGCATTGCGAACAGGTTTGGAGCCAGGTAGGACCAAGGGGATTCATCTTAACCCCCTTGGGCGGAAAATTACACTACACAGGTTAAAATTATTTTTTATGTAGATATAGTAGATCGTGAACCCCATTTGGCTTCTTTGTGTATTATCATTCATATTTAGAACCCCCTATTGAAAATTATGGCTTCCACTGAATTTGCAAAGAACAAGTCAATATGATCTTTGTGTAATAAAATGGTGAGACTTGAAAGCACCCTAGTATTGGGTAAAATAGCAATCTCAATATTCAGAAACTGATTGAGATAGTCATACTGTCAACTCTTCAGGCTTTGGTGAGGGACTCTCCAAAAATGTCGATGCACCCGTGTCGGATCCTCCAAAAAATGCACTACTTATGAAAGATTCGACACGCACCCGATGACATTTTTGAAGAGTCCACGCAACATAGTTAACATATTGCTACCAAAAATAGTACAAGTTATAAGACAAGAAATGGAACAATAGGGAGGAAACATCTCTATGAAAGAATTCGCGTCCCAATCGTCAATTTGTCTTCTATCATTTTTTAAGAAGGAATATCGCACCAAATTAATGAAATATATCAAACGGATATGTAAACAGTCTGCTGCTACTCAGGGGAATAGCAAACAACCAGGATAAGCAGAATAGAGATGGAAGCTGAAATATACCTTGAGAGCGAAAAATTGCCCTGTCCATTTATGCTGAACCAGCCGCACTATACCACCATTTCCCTTTCCAATAACTTTTACTGCTTCAAAATCAGCTAAGCATAACTGGTTGTCTGATGGCTGTATAACTGAAGGCTGAAAAAAAATTGCAAATGCCAGAATAAATACGCCATTATAGTTGCAACGGATTGCGAAAATGGATATAAAGGAAGATGAAGAACACAAAATGTCCAGGTATGGACTAAAACGACGACTGCACCTCAACTCCTAGCAAGTTGGCATCAGGTAAGTGAATCCCCACTGCTCTTATCGCTCCATTAAAGTCCGTCTTAGTCCGATAAATTTAAAACAGTAGTTCCTCTAGAACCAGAGGTTCTCTACATTTCCGTATATAAATTTCTAACAAGACTAAGAGGCTCCTACCAAATTCTGGACCTAAAGTAAACGTACTAATATAACAAAGAGTCATTCCCGCTAATTAGTATCAGTTATATAAAAATATGTCTATCTCTAGATTCAAATACGTAAATTGTTATTTGGACCCTTCATATAAGATGAGTCCCTAATCACAGCTTTAATATCCTGATTCAGAAAATCAGCTTTTAGATCTAGATCTTCAATTTTTCTTCCATTTCAAATTCTTTATAAGCTGGCTGGGAGTAAGCATTCAAAAATTTCAATTCTTTATGCATTTAGATTTTCTAGCCATATCCTGTGTAATTTTACAAGTGGAGTATGGGGAAGGTTGAGTGTACCCCGACCTTACCCTTACCTAATGGATGTAGAGAACTTGTTTTCGAAAAACCCTCGGCTCAATGCAGCAAATCAAAGTATTTACGGAAAAGGGAATAGACCAGTGTTGAAAACATGTCAATTACTAAGGAAAGCAGTACAAAGCATTCAAAGAAAAGAATGTGGTAACTGAAACACAATGAACACCAGATATCAAAGGCAAGAAAATACATGTATGAGACTAATACTACAACAGACACAGTGTTCCCCGACACCCACCAATCTTAAACCCGTCGAAAAATGAGTCAAAGCTCAATTACCTACTTACCTTCTACCCTAATCCGCAACATCCATACCCTCCTATCTCAGGTCAGCTAAACATTCCAATTCAAACTTCAAACTTCCAAAGGCAAATTAGAGAATAGTCTACTCTTAATCCCATGTAAACTAAGCAAAGGATCATCCTACTACCCAATCCAAGCAAGACTACAGAACTATAAAAGCAATTCAAACAAATCAAACCAACATTTCCTTTAATCAAATACAACATAAGTAATTCAAAAGAGAAAGTGTACAGCTGCAACTTCACTCTGCGAAACAATTCGAACTCCATCTCTATTCACCAGAAGATCTCCATCCTTAAATGTTCCTGATTCAGTCCTATACAACAAAATACCAAAAACATCTCATCAAAATACATAACCATAGCTAGAGAAACACAGAAATAAGAGATACAAGAAGTGGATCCAACAGTTCAAGTCAGTTGACACAAAGTACAGATGAATTTAGCATAAATGTGACATAAGAGAGAGGGATAAAGTAAGTACAGGAATTTGGAGAGAGCAACTTCATCAGGAGGAGGAAGAGAGAGTTTAAGATTAGGTGCAAAAGATCCTTTCTTCATAGCTAAATCTTGTAAAATCACAGTAAAAATTGCTTCTTGGGAAACTTGGGTTCTTGAATTCTTCTTAAAAATCACTTTTTTATTGAAATCTTGAATTCTTCTTAAAAATCACTTTTTTTTTATTGAAATCTTGAACACCCAAAATGAAAGTTGCTTTCAGGCAAATGGGGTTTTGCTAATTCTGCTTAAAGTTCACTCTTTTATAGAAATCTTGAAAGATCAAAGATGAAATTGCTTCCAGGCAACTGAGTTTTTTGTATTCTAGTTAAAAGTTCACTCCTATATGATTATTTTTTTTGAAAAAAAAAATATATGTTGGAAAAAATTGGGGAGCTTAGGGGCATTTCTGCTTAGCTGGGTCAACTGAAAGACTCTATGTAGAAGTCTTGCAAATAATAGCAGAAATTATGTGGTTGTTGCAACTATTAAGCTAGACTATGAATCAAAAAATTATACATATATAGAGAAGACAAATGGTAATGGTGAATTGAATAGAAGGAAAAAGTAGGCTTGATGCAAATTAAGAAAAGCTTGAAAATTTTAAAAAGTACAACAATAACATATGTAATTCCATAAATGGGGTTGAGTGTGATGCGAAGAGTATACATTAATTTTATTTCTATCTTGATTTTTACGAAGATAGAGAAATTATTTTCGATAGATTTTTAGTTCAAATAAAGCATTTTGATCCATATTTAAAAAGGAAATATAATTTTAAACGGATTATACTAAAAATAATTGATGAAAAATGATAAACAATAATTACAGTAATATCAAATAATAAAATTATATGAGATTAATAATAATAATAATAATAGAAAAAGAAATAAATGCCCTTTTAGATTATATAAAATTGAATAAAAATATTTCAAATTAATAATTTGATCCAAAAATATTTTTATTGTAAATAGTTTAATTCATTTTTGTTCAATTTTTCACATATATAAGAAGGAACAAATAGGGGTGTTCAAAATTATTATGATGTCTTTTCCATAAGTAAATGAGGCAATATTTGACTATTTTTCAACTTATAAAAAAAAATATTAAGTATTTTTTATTTATTATCATTTTCCTCCATCATTTTTGTGTTATGAGTGGGGAAATAAGTGGGAAAGATGATAAAAACACTTTGTGAATCAAAAGGATTACACTTGCTGACTTTTCTTCTGTTGTTTTATGTGGACCTTTCTTTTTTCTTTTTTCATGTTTTATTTATTTATTTATAGTTCTTTCTTTCCTTTTTCCTTTGTTTTTTTTTCTTTTTACTTTATTTATAGGTATTCTTTTTGAAGTTTGAACTTTCTTTTTTAAGTGAAATATTCTTTAGAAATTTGCTCCTAAGAGCATTTTCTAGAAAAACAAACCATAAAACCTTTTAGATAATTAGTTTATAAATGTTGTGATAGTTGTTTTCTTTTTATGTCTCGTATTTGATATTTATATTAAAATTTGATTTAATTTAAATTTGTATTAAAAGAAAAAGTAAAATTGTATATACTAGAAAATTATTAATTCAAATTAAATGTTATAATTATAGTCTGATTAAATTGTATCCTATAGTAAACTATTGCTATTTTTGCCTCTATCCCTGGTGAAATCTCGCCCGCCACTCTTGTTTTGATGGTAGTCTCGCTCGCCTCTCTCGTTCTTATACAAACACAAAAATGTATAAAATGTGTTTGTGTTTGTATAAAGCGAGAGGAAATTGCATATATACACATATTTTCGTTCCTCTCTCTTCCCTCTCCCAGATCTCACTTCCGACCCTCGTTTCTCTCGCTTATACAAATAGAAACGAAATAGATTGTGTTTAAAATTGTTTAAAACGAGAGAAAAATGTATATACAGCTACAAATACATAAAACTCGTCCTATACACTTATAATTATGCAATACAAATATTCCTCTGCCCAATTTTTTTTTTGTCTTTCTCTCTTTCTCGTTCTATACATACATGGATTATACAATTGATCTTTTGTATACAACTGCTTTTTTTTGCGAATTATACAATTATTTTCTTTGTATATGTATAGCAAATTATAAATATATCGCGAAATATATTTATGTTTGTTATGAAACATAATTATACAAACTATAATTATAGTATATAAATATGATTTTTATATTTGTTATACGTGAAAATTACCGAAGAAATTTTATATTTGAGAGGTAAAATGTATGTTGAAATAATGGACTTCAAACACTTTTGATTAAGGAGTGATACTATTTTCACTAAAATAGAACACTTGCATCTTCTTTAGTTGCTTGTCAAAAAGGGTCATGTCATGTTAGCTAAAAAAAGGAAAAAGCTTATGAATTGATATTTATATCTAAGTTAATAAATATATAACATAATCTTTTAAAATATATTATTGTCAATTAACTATAGTTAACTAATGCATAAATATCACTTTCATTTACTAACTGCATAGTTTAGTGTAAACATTTGATCTATTCATAATTAAATTTATACTATGAAGCAGCTTGCCAATAATTAAATAGATGTTCTATTTGCTTTGTTATTTAATTCATACTATTTTTTTTAATTTGCATGTGTTTCTTCTAACTTCATACATCTATATAGCTGAATCTCATTTATATGTTATTACAGTTTCGTTATTTTTGTGTTGCTTAGGTTATTTTTATTTAAATTTTAGTCATATATAACAGAAGTTCAATAATTTTTATCAAAATTCAATTATTTAAAATTGAGTCGTATATGTATGAACTTCAATTCGATAATTGAAATCAAACTAAAATGATTCTATATCAATCACATGAAACTTAAAGTGAATATACATAAAAAAAGAAAAATTATAAAAAAAAATAAATTAAAACAACGAACTTAAAATAGATTATAGGATCAAAATTTCTTTTTAAAAAAAATTCAAATCAAGACACCACATGCCGGCTATTGCGGTAAAAGTATCACAAATTGACTCTTCATACCAACTAAATCAATTGACTTCAAAGGTCTTTTTTTTTAGGTAAATTGATTTCTCCATTGACAACAAAATATAAAGAAAAATTGACAATTTGGCATAATTATAACCAATTTGATAAAGTTGAATTTTCTAAGATTTTCTTTTTTCTTAAAAGTCTATTTGTATGTCTGAACACAAAAATTTGTAGTTTACATTATTTTTTAAAATATATGATATATCATACGCAACATTTCAAATTATAAAAATAAAGATCAATAATTTATTATTTGAGTTAACTTGTTTTAAGAAACTAATTCACATTTCCATATCATTTGTCAATTATTGTTACATATACAAGCAAGGGATCAAATAATGTAATGGTGAATGTCTCCTTAACTTCTAATTTAATGAGATTTGAGAGTTTTAAATAGCTAAAATAAAGTTATTTATGGTTCTTGAAATTTGAGAGAGTTAATTATTTTGGTCATAATATTTCACTTTTTCATTATTGTTAGACGAATGTAATTTATATCATTGATTTATTGTTACAATAACAATCAGTATAGTTTTATAAAGTAGGATTGCAAAAAAGTAAAGTGTACACAAATTTTATTTATAGGTCAAAAATAAAGAAAATATTTCTGATAGACCTTCAATTCAAATAATTTATAATTCTATCTGTTAATCAATAATATGTGATTTAACATTATATTGGGGATTATTATGAATAATTTAAGCTATAGATATTCTTTTGTTATTTCTATTTTTTTAAAAAAACTTTCAATCAAATAAGTACTAATTGCAATTTGCTCAAGCAACTAGTGATGATTACAACCTCTAAACAACTCCTTTGGAAAAGGTTTATATAATATTTTCACCAAGAAAACTTGCAATAAGCAAGTAATTTACGCAATTCGCAAGTAGTATATTTTTAATAAAGATAATATTTTGATACGTTAAATTGTTTCCATGCGTGAAGTCAAGTAAGAACTAAACTGTTCAAATTTATTATACGTAACTTTATCTTGTAATTTATTAAATATCTTGAGTTTTTTCTTTCTTTATTATCTAAATAAAAGAGTGCTAGAGAAATTGAAATTAATTTATATTGTTCACCAATTTGAAGAGAAAATAAAATATTTTGTATTTTTATTTATTATTTCATAACATTCATCACATGTTTTTAAATTCTTTACATAATAAATAAGTTAATTTAAATTTTTTAAGGGTGTATAATGACAATATCAAAACATGAAGGACTTAACTGCAAAATATATAACTAAACTTCTACCGTCTCCTTCTCAGTCCTTCAATTTTCATTAGGGTTCAATTCTCTACCCAATCCAAAAATCGCCATGAAACTAGCTTCACTTGACAGTGTGACAAATGCTCACGACGATTCCATTTGGTCGGCGGCGTGGGTCCGGTCGACGGAGGAATATCCAGCGTTGCTTCTCACCGGAGGTCTTGACGAAACTGTGAGGTTATGGGACCCGAGTAACTTCGCTTGTGTTCAAACTTTCACCGGTCATTGTCTCGGCGTTGTATCTGTTGCTACACATCCTACTCGTAGAATTGCTGCATCTGCTTCTATAGATAGCTTTATTAGAGTTTTTGAGGTTGATACTAATAACACTATTGCTACTCTCGAAGCTCCTCCTTCTGAAGTCTGGCAATTGCAATTTAGTCCAAGTGTAAGTAAAGGAAAATGAAATTTTGATTGCACTGTAAAGTTGTTGTCATGCTGAAATGTAGGATAAGGTTGCTTACAATAGATTAGGAAGTGACAATTTCGAGATTTGAAATAGTCGCTAAGGCTGCATGCATTAAATCCTTGTGACTTGGCTGTTTCCCGGGTCACAAGCGTAGCGGGAGCTTAGTGCGCCAAATTGCCCTTTTTGGATTGCCTGTTATTGATGTTAACATTTAGCTTTAGTTTGAAGATGCATTGGAAACAGCCTCTTGCAGAAATGCAGGGCAAGGCTGCGTACAATAGATACTTGTGGTCAGGCCTTCCCCAGACCTGTGCTTAGTGAGAGCTTAGTGCACCAGCATGCGAAGTTGCATTGGAATTGCTTCAACCTTTTTTATGATTGATAATGTGGTGAAATATATAGGTTGGAAATTTGTATTGTTTTTCATTTTGTATGATTTTTTATGCATAAAGTTACAGTCTTTGTTTGGTTAGAATTGGTTTGGTTGAGACTTGAGAGGCTTGTATGCTAGTGGGAGCTTAGTGTACCGGCATGCGTTTTTGTTTGGATTGCTTGTTAGTTCTGTTAAAATTTAGCTTTAGTATGAAGTTGCATTGGAATTGCTTCATCCTTTTTTATGATTGATAATGTGGTGAAATATATAGGTTTGGAAATTTGTATTGTTTTTCATTTTGTATGATTCTTTATGCATAAAGTTACAGTCTCTGTTTGGTTAGAATTGGTTTGTTTAAGACTTGAGAGGCTTGTATGCTAGTGCTGTGAGAAGCTTTAGTTTCATGAGAGATATAA